ATAATTCGTGGTAAACTGAACAATCTGACTCTTTTCCACAGATCTCACTGTGGTTGATGTAGTTATATTTATACAGGCTCCCGCTCCCTGCGCCCCTCCCCCTCGGCGACGAGCACCCAGGCCCGCTCTGCGCAGGCGCGCGGACTTCTTTTCCAGTCTCCGAGGGAAGCGACCATAGAGAAGAGCGGCGAGAGGGAAGGGCACCTTCGTACTCACTTCCGCCATCCTCCTGCTAGGTGCAGACCCTTCAGAGAGTAAGAGGGTGAATCTTCTAGGGCTTCAGTGACTTCACCGGGTGCGCCTAAGAGGGGCCACCGAGATAGCGAGGCGAAGGGGTTGGGTCCCACCAGAACGTCCTCTCGGAAGAAATTCGGGACAAAGGAGAGAAGCCAACCATAGAGTATGCGCTGTCCAGGAGAGAGTCCCTGGTCCCCGCTGAAGGCTAGAGCAGCCGCCGGGTGCCGGAAACCAGCGAGACGATAAGGTTCTGCGGAGGACCCGCTGCAGCCTAGAGCGCCTGGCCCAGCGGCTGAGGGGGACGTGGACACCGCCCCCGACTAGCCGGGCGAGGAAAGGGGGGTGACCTTGGGGAGGACCCGTAAGGAGGTGAAGCCTGAATTTAAGACCTTGGCTTCGTTGAGGAAAGGGGCAGGCGGTGGAGGGGATTCCATCTCTGTGATGGGAAATCAGTATGGGGGAGTGCAGCAATAGTGCGGTCAATAACGAAGGCTTGTGGCACCTCAAGAGGTTCGTAGACACACGACTTGGAACTCAGGAAAGGTATCGGGGCCAGTTACAGGAACCAAGGACCATTAGGCTAGAGGGTATTGAAGTCCTGTGTCCCACATCCTCTAGCAGTCCAGCCTTCCTTTGACTCAACTCTGACTAGCCAAAACAGTAAGGAAACCCGTGACTCAAGTCATTGGAAAGTCCATAGTGGATGAGGATCTGCTGAATACAGCCCTGGGAACCGTGGCTCATGATCTCTAGCTCTGCTTTACCCGCGCATTTGGCTTCACTCAGGCAAGCTTTTCTCTGTCGGTGGCAAATGGCTTTCCAATATCTCCAAATTTAAATCCTAATAGCTTAGAAACTGGGTAAGAGAATGTCCCTTTACTGACACCGTCAGTAACATTTTTAGAACTGACCGATGGAGGCAAGTGACCCAATAGATGGAGGTGGACATGCTCTGGGCCACATAGGAATGTACCCTCGAGGCTGGGACTGAGGCTGCCAGATGGGGTTCTGGCCTAGCCAGTCTTGGTCCCCCAGCTAATATCCCCAAACTAATATCGGTTCACAAATGGCCTTGTTAAGGTCTTCATCACCAGCTCTTCCCATCCCTCTTTCCACTTCAGAGGATATCAGTGAAAGGGATCCTATTGCTATCATCCACCCTCCACACCCTTATACATCCTCTGTGCTGTTGGTCCGTCCATCTAGGAGAACACAGTTGAGGAATGTAAAAAGGCAATGGTCTGTCACTGAGTTAGTTTTGAGCGCGTGACTAAACTCTAATAAAACTTTTTCTTTGGCATGGTGGTGGGGGCATGGAAGGGGTATAACTCAGTGGCCAGTAAAATGTTCTGAGATGACTGAATACATATTCTATATCAGCATTACCCGGTGGAGCTACTAGGCACACGTAGCTATTAAGCACTTGAAATGCGGCTGGTGAAGCTGGGCATACTGGTGCACACCTGTAATCCCAGCACTCTGGGAGACAGGAGGCTTGTAAGTTTGAGCCCACCTTGCACAGCTTAGCAACTTACTGAGATCTGCCCCAAAATAACAACTATAAAGGGCTGGGGATTTAGCTCAGTGGTTCCGCCACTTGTCTCCCAAGCACAAGGACCCAAATTTGATCCCTGGTACCAAAAGAAATAAGAACTATAAAAAGAGCCGCAGATGTAGCTCAGTGTGAAGGTCTTGGGTTCATTCCCCAGTGCTGGAAAAAAAGTGGTTGGTATGACTAAGGAATTGTGTGTGTGCACACGTGTATATGTGTATGTGTATTGGGGGCAGGGTTGGACTATATCTCCATTCCCCCCACCTTTTTTACAAGGACTCCCTAAGTCCCTAAATTACCCAGGCTGGACTCAAACTTGGAATCTAGCCTTAGCCTTCCAGAATGCTAAGATACAAGCATACATCACCAGCCCTAGATGGGATTTTAATTAGTTAAAATTAAAACAATACAGCGGCTTCTGTATTAGTGAAGGAGGGATCCTTGTACGACCAGGTGCAGTTGTCCAGCAAAAATGGATTATACTCCGGGCTGTACAAAGCAGTTTGGTGATCAGATGAGAGTAGTAGTTAAGTTCATGGAGATGGATGGGTGAGACTCTCCAGGTAATATGTATATCCAGAGAGAAGGCCTGGTTCTGGGAATCAACATTTGACCAGCAAAGAAAGAGAAATAGCAAGTGATGAAATGATACCTTGGGTCATGTTTCCCAGAAATACCTTAAGATGAGGATTGGAGTTCATGTAAGTTATTAAGAAAACACTCTGTCCTGATGATGAATGTAACTGTACTGTATACCTAAAATGTACCAATAAAGAGAAAAAGGAAAAAAAATTGCTCAGGCTGGGGATTTAGCTCAGTGGTTTTGCCACCTGCCTCACAAGCTCAAGGCCCCGAGTTCAATCCCCAGTACCAAAAAAAGAAAAGAGAATGGTCAACCTGGGCTACCTCGTGAGTTCAAGGCCAGCCCATCCTGTTTTAAGGAAACACACAGAGGGAGATGAAAGGAGGGAGGAAGAGAATGCTACCTGGCATGATGGTGTGGCTCAGTGGCAGAAAGCTGGTCAGCATGCAGCAGCCCTGGGTTCAGTCCCCTGTGTAGAGTGGGGTCTGTCGGGAGAAACTAGTAAGAGCGAGAGGAGAGGAAGCCAAGCAAGCGTGTGCTATTAAGGAGAGAGTAGTCTCCCCAGCTTCCACAAAGGAGCCCCGGAAGTAAGTTAGGCCTCAGGTTTATCCAGAAACAAGGAAGCCGAGTCTTTGTACACTTAACATCCTCCAGGCACTGGGCA